AATCTATCATCCACTTTCTAAGCACAAGTGTCCTTCAAGTCTCTGTCCTGGGCCCTCCTCTCTCACCCTTTGGTGATCTCATTCATTCCCAAGAATTCAATTATTATCTCTCTGTAGATGAAAATAATTAACATCTATATAGCATTTAAGTCTTACAAAGTATATTACTTCATTTGATCATCATAAAAACCTATGAATTAGGTGCTATTACTATCCTCATTTTACAGATGAGGAAACTGAGGTTGAGTGAAATTAAGAGAGACTTACCCAAAGTCACACAACTAATAAGTGTGTGAGGCAGGATTTGAACTCAGGTCTTCCCTTAATCTACCACAACACTTAGCTATTGTATGACCTCCAAATATACATATCCCACCCTAACCTTTTCCCTGAACCCCAGTGCAATATTGTCAACTTCCTGCTATACTTTATCTAGATTATCTCAAAGTCATTCAGAGTCACATCCTTGGGAGCCATCTTTAACTCTTCGTTCTCCCTTACCACCGATTTTCCATCAGTCGCCAAGTCTTATCAGCTCATCATTTCTTCTGTCCTTATTTTCCCATTCACATGTCTATCACTCAAGTTCAAGCCCTCATTATTTCTCACCTTGTCTATTGTCATAGCCTCCTAATTGGGTCTGTCTCCTTCCAGTGCAGCCCCTCTTTAATTCAGCCTCAGATGGCTTCCAAAATAACATTCCTAAGACACAGGTTTGAAGAGCTCATTCTCCCACTCAAAAACCTTCAGAAGCTCCCTATTATTTCTGGAATAAAGCATAAGCTCCTCCAACACGGCATTTAAAGCTCCAGCCTACCTTTTGAGCCTTCTATCACATTGCTCCCCTTCATCTACTCTACATTCCAGCCATACTGGATTCCCAACTGTTCTCTGAATTCAACATCTTATCACCTTCTTCCATACCTTTGCACAGGCTGGGTTTGAATCCCTCCATGCTTGGAATATATCTCTCAAAATCCTGCTCTTCCTTCAAAGTTCAGGTCAGGACCTGCCTCCTCCATGAGGTTTTCCCTAACCTAGTCCCTCCAGTTGTTAGTGCCTCCTCTCGCCTTTAATTATCTTGTACTTACTTAGTTTCCATGTGTACATGTTGTAGCTCCATTCCCCAATATTCCATAGAATGTCAGTGTTTTGTTTTTATCTTTGAACCTGTAATGCTTTAGCATACTGCCCTGCATAATAAATTTTCAATATTTATGACATAAACATTTGTTTATTGAATTCCTAATGAATTGAATGACTCCAAGATTTCAGGTATAAGTGGCTGGGAATGAACAGAAATGAGAATATTTGGAGAAAGAAGAGGAGTTGGTGGAGAAGATAGTAAGGTCAGCCTGGGACATTTTGGATTCGAGGCACAGCAGGACACCTGTGTGCAAATACTATAGTTGAGATTTTTGATTAGAATTCAAGAGAACGATTAAGGCTGGATATGTTGGTGTGGAGACACCTGTATAAATGTATTCCTGAACCCATGGGGACAGATATGACTATGAGGCTCCGGAGAGAAGAGAAGTTGGCTCAGGATATAGCTTTGGAGGCCTTCCATGCTTAAGAGGCAGGGGATGGATGATGAATCAGGGGGGAAAAAAAGAGCAGCCAAATAGATAGGGAAACCATTAGGGAACGGTGCCATGGAAATTAAGGAAAGGCAGAATATACAAGAGGAGGAGACAGGAAAGAGTGCTGAGAGCTACAAAGGTACCAAGTAGCATTGAGACTGAGAAGAGCTTCAGATACAGCAAATAAGTTATCTTTGGTAACCTCTGAAAGAGCTATTTCAATAGAGTGATGAGGTATGGACAAGGAATGGCCAGGAGGTGAGGAAGTGAAGGTAAGCAAGTTCAGCAACACTTTCTAGGAGTTTGGCAGTGAATTAGAGAAAAGATATAGACAATAGCTTAAGGGAATAGCAGGGGAGGTTTTTTCGTTTGTTTGTTTCTAAATAAGTGGAGCAGAAAGGCTACTGACCAGAAGAAAGTCCCCATATACACTAAACTATTTCTAGGAGCACTTTTTGTGTTTGTGAAGAATGGAAACAAAGTGGATGCCCATCGACTAGGGAATGACTAAACAAATTGCGGTGTGTGAATGGAATGGAATATTATATTGTAAGAAATGATGAATATGAGAAGCACAGAGAAGCAAGGAAAGACTTCTATGAATTAATACAGAGGGGAGTAAGCAAAGTCAAGAGAATAATTGACACAATGACTACAACCAAATAAATGGAAAGAACAACCACAAAACAATTAACATTAAATGTTACAAAATTACAAAGAATGAGCATGGCTCTAAGGAAGAGATATGAGAAGAAACCCCACCGGACACCTTTGAGGAGGTGGGAGGTCCACAAGTATTGCATAATTCATGGTTTTTTTTCTGACATTTTTAATGTATTGCTGACTTTTTCACTTCTTTTCATTTTTTTCTTTAAAAATATTATTTGTTATTTTCTCTCTACATCCAAACAGATGTCAAGTGCTATCATTTCTACCATTATAGAATATCTCACATACACCCCCTTCTGTCCTCTGGCACTGCCACCACCCTAGTACAGGCCCTTATCACCTCACATCTGGACTAGTATCCTCCACTTAATTGTCAGATTGATCTTCTCTAAGCACAAGTCTGTCGATGTCACCTCTCTAGTCAACAAGCTCCAGCGGTTCCCTATTACCTCTAGCATCAATATAAAACCCTCTGTTTGGTTTTTAAAGCCCTTTATAACCTGCCTTTCCACCTTTCCAGTATTCCTTACTCCTGTCCATATAATCTAGTGCCATTGGCCTTGCTGCTCTTCATCTCTGCCTTCTGGCTTCCCTGGCTTCCTTGCTAAAAAGTTCCTGCTAAAAGTTTCTGCAAAAATACTTTCCCTGTCCTCCATAATATTTGTGCCTTCCCTCTGAGATTACCTCCAATTTATCCTGGATCTAGATTGTAAAGAGTCATTTCCATGTTGAATACACTGTGAGTTCCTTGAGAGGAAGAGTTTTTTTTTTGCCTTTCTTTGTATTCTGAGGATGTAACACAGTGCTTAGTATAAAGTAAACACTTAATAAATGCTCACCAACTGGCCTCTTGGAACTCTGATAGTCTATGATTCTAAATTGAAGAAGGGGCAAAGGAAATGTCTGGAAAGTTACTGAAGGGGGATGGAGATAGCGGGAAACAATTGCTCAAAAAGGTTACAGAAACTGGGATTGTTTGGCCCTGAAGAGAGAAAACTGACAGATTGAGTAGAAGACTTCAAGTTAATCGAGGGTTGTTACAGGAAGAGATGGGTCCAGCTGTTCTCTCTTTCCAGAGGCTTCTCCACTACACAAAGTGATCGCATGTGGATGTACTCTTCAGGAATGCAGAATAGAAACCATCTAAGCCTGGCCCAGCCTGCACAACTCTTGTCCTTGAGCTCCCATAATTTCAGATAAAGGGCATAAGGGAGGGGAATGGTAAACGGCTGCATACACCTTTAGATTGGGCAGATGGTAATTGCTTAATAAGCACTCAGAAATCTTGTCTCTATAACAGCTCTCATTAATATGTCCCCTTCTCTCCACTCACACAACTACCATCCCGGTTCAGGTCCTCCTCACCCCTCTCCTGGACTAGATCAATAATCTTCCCAAGACTCAGATTAAATCCCTCCAACTGCAAGAAACCTTTTCCAGTTCCTCAACTGTTAGTGCCTTCCTTCTGAGATCACCTTCCAGCTACTCTATACACACCTACTTATTTACATACTGTCTCCCCATTAAAATAGAAGCTTCTTGAAAGAAAGGGCTGTTTTTGCTTTTCTTTGTACCCCCAACACTTAGCACAGGACCCAGCATATAGTATATGCTTAATATATGATTATTGATTGATTCATCAAAGTGACATTCTGATTTTTTAAAAATTGTAGCAATCTGATCCTGAGAGGGATTTGGGGTATGAGAAGGTATGGGGTCTTAGGAAAGATAGCAGCAGCCAAGGACCAATGGGAATAGCAGAAAACTATGTAATCTACAAACTCTCCAACCTGGGTAGACTCGTTTACCTTTGATGTATCCAAAAGTAAGCTCCTTCTCAAAAACTATAGGAAGGGGGCAGCTAGGTGGCACTGTGGATAGAGCACTGGCTCTGGAGTCAGGAGGACCCGAGTTCAAATCCGGTTTCAGACACTCAATACTTACTAGCTGTATGACCCTGGCCAAATCACTTAACCCCATTGCCTAGCCAAAAATAAAAACAAAAACAAAAAAACTATAGGAAGACAAGCCACGAGGAAGGAAGTAAAAGGGTAAGAAGTTCACTAAATGAGGAAAAGCTCTTCACAATAACCTTGGGAAGGAGGCAGGACAGATAGGCGTCCCTGACCCCCATTCTATGGATCATGAGACTGAAGCTCATAAAGTTTAAGTAACCTGGCCATGGCTACATTGCTAGGAGATAGTGGAAATCAGTCCTAGATCTCTTGACTCCAAGTCCAGGGTTCTACATAATAATGATAATAATAGTAATAATAACTAGTATTTTAAATGCTGATTTAAGTTTGCAAGGTGTTTTACAAATATTATCTCATTTTATGCTCACTTTACTCCACTTGGAGTAATGTAGAAATAGGCAGAGCAGCTGTAGGTGGATGTCTACAGAATATTTTTAAGCCCCTCCTGCTCTAGAATATCTCTCCATTGCCTCTTTATAACACTTGAAGTTCTACCATTTGAGATGCATTTTTTTTAGATGTTAAAGAATTCTCAGGCTATAATAGTCTGAGTTAAGAGTCAAGCAGACGAGCTGAAGCCAAGGGTCCAACGCTGTCAGAGAATAATTCAACTTGATGATCCTTGATTGTAATAGCTGGCCTGTTGACACCCGAAGGAGCTTCTAAGAAATGTCAACTCATGATGAAAGAAAGCTTCTGGAGCTATTTGGACGTCTCCCGGGGGGGAAGTTTGTGTGGTCCAGATGCTTGACAGAGAGAACCTGCAACAATCTGGTGGAGGAGATTATGGGGGCCTGAAAGAGTCTTCAGAGCAGCTCAGGTTCAGCCACCAGGTAATTTGGCAATCATACCTTCTTAGCTGGTAGCCATGGCCCCACTGGGTGTCTAAAATAAGCTATACTGCACAGGATCTGGATAAATGAGGGGCTCTGACATCTGCTGGTGAGAAATTTTCTGGGATACTTTGGATTCAGGACTTTTGGTGAGTCACTGTCAGGAGATCTGGGTACTTGAGGGCTAAGAGATGAAGTGAGAGGGTGGTAATGTGATGTTGTACCCCTTACCAGCTGCTGTTATTGGGGAAAACAGTTAAGTTAAATAAAATAAATGTTTATGCCTGTTATGGGAACCAAGAAGTTAAACTGGTTGGAGGCTTGATGTGAGGGAACATCCAACTTCAGGTTCATGTTGTAAAAGACTTTAAATGTTGGCATTTAAAGAGTTTATATTTTATACTAGAGGTAATAAGGGGCCATTGGAGTTTGACTAACAGGTGACATGGTCACACTTGTATTTTAGGAAAATCACTTTGATACCTAGAGGGAGGATAGATTAGAATAGGAAGAAAGGAGGCCAGGAAACCAGTTAGGAAGCTTTTAAAATGATCAATCAACAAGCATTTTTGAAATACCTATTGTGTATCAGGCAAGAGAGTAGGCACTAGGAAGAAAAATACAAAGAATGAGATAATCCGCAATCTCAGGAAGTTTATGGTCTATAAGGGGAGACAATATGTATGGTGTCTGTGTGTACACACATGTATATATACATACTTACATACAAAAATACAAACATATATATACACATATACACTTATATATGTACATATGTACACATTGTCTCGACTTACAGAGCATAAACTTCTTGAGACTGTGGATTATCTTATTCTTTGTATTTGTATATGTATGGGTAACTAGATGGCACAGTGGATAGAGTGCTGGGCCTGGAGTCAGGAAGACTCATCTTGGTGAGTTCAAATCTACCCTCAAACATTTAGTAGCTGTGTGACTGTAGGCAAGTCACTTAATCCTGTTAGCCTTAGTTTCCTCATCTGTAAAATAAACTGGAGAAGGAAATGACAAACCACACCAGTATCTTTGCTGAGAAAATCCCAAATAAAGTCACAAAGAGTCAGACATGACTGAAAAACAACTGAACAACAATAACAACTATATGTGTGTATGTAATAGATATAATTACATATAGAATATATGTACAATATATAATTACCTATGGAATATATGTACAATACAATTACATATAGAATGTGTGTAGAGTGTATAATCATATAGAATATATGTATATATAATTACATGTAGAATATATGTATACTACAAATACATATAGAATACATATGATTACATATAGAATATGTGTATAATATATAATTACACATAGAATATATAATTAAAAATTTAATATATGTATAATGTATAATTACACATAGAGTATATATAATTACATGTAGAATATATGTATAATATATAATTACACATAGACTATATGTATAATATATATAATTACATATAGAATAAATGAAAAACAAAAGGTCATTATGGAGGGAGGGCCCTAGCAGTTGGGTGATCAAGAAAGGCTTCATGCAGAAGTTGCTACAGACAAAGAGAGGCAAATGTGAGGAGAGAGGGCATTCCAGGAATCCCAGGAGATAACCAGTACAGAGCCATGGAAACAGGAAACTTGAGTACCAAGTGTTAGGAACAGAAAGTAGGCCAGTTTAGCTTGACCATATTGTGTGGAAAGGGGAATAATGTGCAATAAGCCTAGAAAGGGTTGCAGCCAGGTTGTAAATGGCTTTCAAAGAAACAGGGGAGGTCATATCTTTCCCTAGGGGCAAAAGCCACTGGGATTTGATTAGAGCCATGACAAACGAGGCAAGAGGTGAAGAGGGCCTGAAATAGGATGGAATCTGTGTGAGCTGAGAGAAGGTGACATACATTCAAGAGGCAGAAATGGCAAGGCTTGGCAATGCAGTCAGTATGTGACATGAGAGGAAGTAAGGAGGCAAGGATGGTGCTGAGGTTTCAAGCCAAGGTGCATAGAGGATGGTGGTGACCTTGACAGTCATAGGAATGTTTGGAAGAAGGGAAGAGTTTGAGGAGAAAGATGAAAGTCTGCTTTGGGCCTGTTGAGTTTGATATGCTTATAGGACATCCAGTTTGAAATTCCAAGAGGCAGTTGGAGATGTGGCACTAAACAGGAGTTTCTGAATGTATTGATCTGGGAGTCATCAACATAGAAATGAAAATTAAACCCCTGGGTGCTAATGAGGTTACCAAGTGAGAGAACATAGAGAAAAATGAGAAGGGGAGTCAGGACAGAGATTGGGGGTATGCCCATAGTTGATGTAAGCAATGTTACATACTCGGAATTCCCAATCTTGAGAAAGAAGAGACAGAGGTCAGGCATATATTTTGATAAACGCTTTTAGAACTGAATTGTCATTAGACAGATTAGACTGTGAGATCCTTGAGAACAGGAACTGTGTTTTGACTTTCATTGTATTCCTAGAACTTAGCACCGTACCTGGCACATAGTAGGCATTTAATAAATATTTAATGACTGCCTGACTAAATAAGTTACAAGAAACAGAGCTAGTTCTCATTCTGCCTTTTAATGAATTTAGCACAGAATGAATGAGTCTAAGTTTGATTCTTGTCTACTGCCACAATCTTTAATGATAACAAATTGTCTTCTATTATAGGATACACTCATTCTATTAAGGAAATTCAAAGCAACTGTGTCCTTTGTTATGAACTCAGGGATATGGTTTATGTTACCAAGCCACTGACTTGGTAATGTAAATAAGATACAGCCATATAATTTGAATATGTGAAAGTCAGAAATATGAGCATCAAGGATCGGTGAGTTTGAGGTCAGCACAGCGTCTTAGAAAGAAGAGAGGAGGGGGAATGTAATAAGTGTTTACTAAGTACTTAGCATATTTCCGGAGCTAAGTGCTTTGCAAACAATATCTCAATTAATTCTCACAACAGCTCTGGGAGGTAGGTGCTATTATTACCCTCATTTTACAATTGAGGAAAGTGAGGCAGAGGTTAAGTGACTTGCCTGGGGTCATACAACTAGTAAATGCCAGAGGCCAGATTTGAACTCAGGTCTTCTTGACTTCAGACCCAGTGTGCTCTATCTACTGGCACCACCCAGCTGTCTCTGAAAACGGTCTCAATAGTATCTATCTATCTATCTATAAATCAACTGTCTAAGGACAGAATGAAAGAAATATATCTGGAAAGAAATCTACATGCAAAAGACAAGTGAAGAAAGGTTTCAGTGTCTGCAAGCTCAGTGAAAGTCAATGCTCACATTGTCTTAGGCGGCCTTAACAGGTAATGCATGATTAAACCCCATTAATGTTCAAAGGGAGACAATAGTCCTAGTCAGACCCTTTTTTAAGTATTTTGACCAGTTCTGGGACCCAATTTTGGAGGGCATGTTGATTAACTGAGGATCATCCAGAATGTTGAAGAGACTTTGAAACCATGTCCTATGAGGCCTATTTGAAGGAATGTGGAATGTTTCGCCAAAAGAAAAGAAAAATCAAGGCCAAGGGAACATGATAGTTCTTCAAATATCTGAAGGAATGACATCTGGAAGAGGCGTTATTAGAATCATTCTGTGTGGCAGAACTAGGGCTGACCCAGGAATGTTACAAGGGATCAGATTTTGGGTCAGGTAAGAGGAAAAATCTCCTAACCAATGGAGATGCTTTTGGAAGTGATGTACTCCCCATCACTGTACCAGTCTCCAGGATGCCCAGTCCCTGATTCTATTCATCCCAATGTCCTATTTCCCCTTGGATCCTCTCTGACCACCCAGTTTTTCCATGCAGAGACCACAGGAAGCTCAGAGACTTCCTACTGTGACGTAGAATTTCACAGCTTTCCTATCCTGCTCCTTACCCTGCCCCACCCTCATACTAATGCTGCTGTCTGCCCTTCACATTTGAAGAGGATCATACCGATACTGGTGGTGCTGGATAGGTGGGCATTAAGAGCCAGAATATAGCAAAACCCCCATAATATACTCTCATTCCCACCAAGATTCTAAGCACCCTTGAGGTTACAGATCCCAGCTTTTCTTAATTCATTCTCAATCTCTTTTAAACTTTGCCCGAGATTCTGCTTTTCTCTCTAACACATGCCAAACTGCCACTTAATCAATCTTCTGTCCTCTCCATCCCTCTTACTCATACTACTGTTCCTGCACAGAACCATCCACTCTGACCCCATGGCCAGCTCTCAGTCTACAGTCTTTCTACCATACCTAATGATTAGCTCCATCACCAAACTTCTCACTAACCCCAACAAAGAGAGTATGTCCCCATGCCTCTTAAATACAGCTAGGGCAGGAGCGTAATGGGTAGCTACAGTCTCAGGAGCATGATTTTTTTGCCAATAAGCCCCAGGTCTTCAGTAGAGCAAACTCAGCGTAAGTGGAATCCAGTTGACCATCTGTCAGAGATATTGTAGAGACAGCTTCATGCGACAAGCAAGGAAATGGGAGCTTCTGAGCATCTAGGAATCTATTCTTAAGAAAATCTCTACACATGCTGACATGGTACTAGGATAATTTATACAACAACAATTCTGTTAAGATGAACAACTTTGGAAAGACTTAAGAACTCTGTCCAATGTAATGACAACCTTGATTCCAGAGGACTGGTGATAATCTATGCACCCACCTCCTGGAGCAAAGGGAAGAACGCAAGATACAAAATGAGACATGTATTTTTGGAGGGCGTGGTCAATGCAGGAATTTGTTTTGCTTGACTCTGCATATTTGTTATAAGGGTAAATGAATTCTTGGCAAGAAAGAATTTGCCTGATCCTTAGCACACCTAACCCTGCCCAGCATTGGGATGAGTGTGTAAGACCAAGATCAGATGAATTTAGGGTCAAGGGGCCAAAACACAGTGTGGAGGAGCATGCATGACTATGGAAACTGGGAAAAAACCCTTGTTTGCTCAAGGACCATAAGGGGTCATCTGCTTAAAGCCTGCCCCACCCTTGGAGGGCAGACAAGCCTCAGCTGGGCCAACAGAAATGCAGCTTCATAAGGAGGCCTCACACTGGGATGGAAAGATTTGTAATGATCCACCATCAGCAGGACATTCCTTTCAAGTTGTTTTTCCCCTGGGGTTTGGGTTGAGCCATTGCTTAATTCCCCTTTGTGACCAAGGGCAGGGCAGGGTCAAGAGTATATTTGGACAAAGAACAAATCTCAGTGGCAGTACCAAACCAATGGTTTTGTCTTCATTAGCAATGGGCACTGAACCAGAGAGCTGCAGATAATCACGTGATGAGACAATGGTCAAAATATACACGTATGTATATATATATATATATATATACACACACATACATATATACACACACATATGTGTATGTAGGCACACATATGTGCTTATGTGTGTGTTTATATAGACCCACATGTGTGCACACATAGGAGCGTGTGCATGTCCACAAATGTATTTATACACATATGCTTCTATATGTATGTGTAGGCATGTGAAAATATACACACATATTCTATCTCTATACACACACAGTCCTAGTATTTTGGCCATTATCAATTATATAGAAAGCTCCCTTTTCCACACAGTCATGGGTTCATCTCATGTTTCAGTGTTTCACAAGCAGCTTACTTTGGGGAAGTCTTTGTGGTGTGAAGAAGCTGCCCTTGGGAGGCAGGAGAGCTGGGTTTGAATTTCACCATGACCACCACCACCACCACCACCAGCACCATCACCACTGAATAGGTGTGTGAAGGGCAAGAGACCTCACTTCTTCCGGGCTGCTGGATCCTCTTGGATTGCTGTTCTTGTTGCAGGTATGGGCTTTGGATCTGTGATTTTACTGGAGTTGAACTCCTGATGAGGAGATTCCCCTCTATCAACACAGATCAGCTGTAATCTAATTTCCAGGCTTAGGGAGTCACCTGAGGCACAGAGATATGAATTGCTTTGCCCATCCGTTATCATCCAGTCAATATACACCCAATGAAAAACTTATCATAGGATCATGACAAAGGGATGTTAGAGGATATTTAGTCCAATTCCCTCATTTTACAAATGGGGAAACTGAGGCTTATAAAAGCTAAGTTGCTTGCTCAGGGTCATACACCATGCAAAAGGCTGGTTTGAAACCATGACTTCTAGACTCCAAGGTTGGGCCTCCATCTACCTACACCAAGCTGCAAGAATAATTAGTTGAGACAGGACACTACTAGCTAGCCCCATTCCTGTGAGGAGTATTTTTGGAAAAATGGTGAAAAATCACCCCGGATAAAAAGTGAGGGTACATGATGATCTGTTTTAGAGGAGGGAGCACCTATTTCAACAAAAACATGAATTCATTGTAGTATTGAATTTTGTAAAAATTGTGTCTTGACTTGTAGGCTGCAGCCACATAGAAATCGAGACTGGTGACTTTGCACAGCCCTTCCTCACTTAAATCCAATTCACTTGCACATCATGGCATCACCTCCCTGATGTCATGGTCCTCTTCGAGAATGAAGGACAAACAACAACAACAACAACAACAGCAACAACAACAACAACAATGATGACAGTAGAATAACAGGGACTAAATGCACGAAAAGGGACAGTTCCACAATATGCGCCTGTATCGCCCTCTAGGACAGGATGAATCATAGCATGCTGACTCTTTTCTTTTGCTCCGCTTCTCAGGTGTTTTTATTATTTATAGCTTAGGGTGATTCCAATTCTTCCATCCAGACATCATGGGAATTTGATCTGTGGTTGAAGGGTCTACTGCAGTATTTCCTCTTGACCATCGATCAAGGCAGATGATCTAATACCTTCCACTTTTCTCTTACCACCCCAAGAGTAATAAAAAAGAGTGAGAGGGAAATAGAAATGCCTTTAACATTTAGCAAGTGATTCCTATGGATTTCTCCTCTGAACTCCCCAGCACTTGTGGTCTATACCTTGTACTCAGTGGTCCATCTAGGTTGTCTTAAATTATTGTACTACTTACCATCCTCCAACTCAACATCCCCCATAAAACATTTAGGGATTCACTCTTCCTCTGGTCTTATATACCACTTAGGATATGATATTTGCCTCCAATAGAATGTAAGCCTCTTGAGGGCAGGGACTGTCCATTTTTGTGTGTGTTTGTTTTCCCAGAGCTTAGCACAGTGCCTGGTCCATTGCAGGCATATAGTCATCCATTCAGTAAGCATTTATTAAGAGATACATGAACAATTTTGTACAATAATTATTGTTTTTATGAGTTATTTCCCCTTACAGGCCAGGGGCCGTCTTATTTATCTTTGTATCTACCACAGCTGTGGTGTCATATAAAAAACCCTGGCCATGCATGCCTGAAGCCTGGTCCAAATCAAAGCTCTGCTCTCTGCTGCTTATTATCCAAATAACTCTGAGCGATATGACCAGCTTAGGCTTATAAAGCACATTGAACTATGCAAAATGCTCTACGTACATCATTTCATTTGATCATCACTACTATAAGCCTATGAAGTAGGTAATGTAATTATTGCTCCTATTTTACATATCAATCCAAGCAGCATTTACTAAATGTTTACTATGTGCCAGCCGGCATTCCCCTATGAGACATGCTGTCAACGGCAAAGCTGAGATTCAGATCCAGAGCTTCTACCTCCAAACCCAGTGCTCTCTCTGTTAGACCACACCTATTATGTCACCTTTCTATACCTCAGTTTCCTCATCTGTGAAATGAAGGGATTGGCAAAATAGCCACTGCAGCATTTTTGTGGTTACAAAGAGTTGGAAAGATGAATTCCTTTTGATTGTGCAATGGTAACCTCTGAAAGGCCCATTTCAATAAAACTATGAGATAGTCTCTAGCAAGCCACTGATGACCTCACAGTCATTTCCTTCACATCTACCATTAAATGCTATTTAATCTTTATTTAGGCAGCTAGGTGGTGTAGTGGATAGAATGCTGGACCAGGAGTCAAGAAGACTCATCTTCCTGAGTTCAAATCCAGCCTCAGACACTAACTAGCTGCGTGACCCTAGGAAAGTCACACAAGGTGAAATGTCTCTCAACCAGGGAGCCCTGGTTATTAACAGAAGACTGAAGGCCAGGTGAAACCACTAACAAACTGTGGGCAGGTCACTTAACTTTTCTCCCAGCTCCTACCTCAAATAAGATAATATTTGTGAAAAGTACTCAGTGTAGCACCTAGACCAGAGGTGGAGAACCTGGAGCCTCCAGGCCATATGTGACCCTCAAGGTCCTCAAGTACAGCCCTTGGACTGAATCCTCAGTCACATGAGGACCTCAAGGGCCACATGTGGCCTCAAGGCTGCAGGTTCTCCTCAATTTCTACATCTATAAAAAGAGTCAGACTAAATGGTTTCTAAGGGCTCTTCCTTTTTTGACATTCAATTTTCCAAAGTCCTTCCATTTCTAATATTTTATGATCTAAGGCTGCTTCTCATCTTCCCCTTACCCAAATAAATTTTAAAGGGATTTGGTCTGAACCATTCCACTTGCTGGTATGAAAGAAAAATAGAATAAAGAACATTAGTCTTGAGCTAAGTCAGAGAAAGGTCACACCCCAGGAAATATTTTTTTAATGGGACAAGAGGAGCAAATTAGGCTTGGATTTCGGGAAGAAGGAAGGAAGCAGGAATGTGGTGTGGGTGTGAAATCTGATCACAAATATAAAAAGTGGCAGGCATTCAGGTTTTCCAAAAATAATCGACTAGCATAGTAAATCAGACCAATGTGCATTACTGGTGTGTGTTAGTTTAGTGCGCTGAAGTCAATTTAAGCCAATGATTAATTTATCTGTTCTGAAAGAGGAAAATTCATTAAATGTATATTTTTAAAAAGATGTGTGATGTAGTCAATTTCATTTTACACTTCTCCTGTTTTTATCCTTATGCTCCAACAGGCATCAAACAATTCCTTCTTTAACTTGTCAACATGGAGTAGCTAACATTTCCCCGATAAGTTTCTTTTTTTAGAACTATGACTATTTTATAACCATAGAGTCCTCCGTATAGTGAACTTAGACAGTTCTATTATAAAGGAACATCTCTGCTCCTTTTCTGAAAAGTGATATCAATTAACTAGATATAAAATCAAGTAAATGTGTTTTAATATTTGATATAATATATAATATAAAATCAAATAAATGTATTTTATATTTGATATGATATAAAATCAAGTAAATGTAGTTTTATAAATTTATTTTTAAAAGACAATTATGATGTTGAAAAATGCCCACTTTATTAAAGATATTATTGCCTGTATTACCTATAAATATATTTTATATTTATTATTATTATATATTATTAATATATTTTATAAATATATTACCTGTATATATTATTATTTATATTTATAAATATGTTTATACTTAGAAATATATTTATATTTATAAATATATTACCTATGCATATTATTATAATATATAATAAATATATTACCTATATATTGATATCTTTATTATTTATTATTATATATTATTAATATATTTTATAAATATGTTACCTATAAATATATAAAAATATAAATATATTACCTATAAATTCAGAACTATTGGAATAAAACATTTAAAATGATAGTACCTATATATATATATATATTTTTTTTTTTATTTTCCCCCCAGATTTATCATCAGGGAATTAAGAGAAGATGAATGCTGTAATGCAGAAAACAAGCATTGGTCCATAGTCAGACATGGGTTTAAATCCGACCTCTGATACTCGCTAGCTGTTTGACCTGACCTTGGACAAGTCACATCTCATATGATTTAGAATTGTAACAGATCTCCTAGGCAAACTAGTCCAACCTCCTCATTTAATAGATGAGGAAACTGAAGCCCAAAGAAATGAAGTGGCTTGCCTGTCACACAGGTCGTCAGCACAAGATTTGGGAAGGCTCATGACAAGCTGGATAACTTTCAGAGGAAGCTAACCAGGATGAAGGTCCTCAAGATCATGCTTCGTGAAGAACCTTAGAAGGAACTAGGGATGTTTGGCCTGTAGCAGAAAAAACCTAGAGTTGTTTTGAAGAAGGGCTGTCATATAGAAAGGAGGATTAGTTGTGTTCTGCTTGGCCACAAGGAACTGAGAACAAAGAACTAAGAAATGCATGGAAATTGTGAAGACATAAATTTAAATACAATGCAAGGAAGCAATCAGAGCTGTAAGGGTAGATGTACTCCTTCTATAGGTAGTGGCTTCCTCATCAACGGAGGATCTTCAAGCAAAGACTATAAAAAGAAAACTTTTCTGCTATAAAGGGGATTGTCAGCATCAGAGATCTAGAACTAGAAATAACTCAGAGGTTGTCTATTCCAACCCCTTCCTTTTACAGATGAAGAAACTGAGGTTTGTGGAGGCGAGATGACTTGCCTAAAGTCACACAAGTTATAAGCAGCAGCAGCAGAACTGGACCCCAAGTCCTCTGACACCAGAGCCTGTTCTTTCCACTGTATTCTCTTACTCCCATTTGGTCAGGTATAAATTGGACTTGATGTTCTGAAATGAATGAATGAAAAAAAGTATTGATAAAACACTATGTGCGATACAAATGGAAAAGGGAAGAATTACCTGGTCTCAAGGAGTTCATGTGCTAATATAGGGAGAGACAACACATGGTGGACATTTTGGCAGCAAATGAGTCAGATGGAAGGGCCTCATGGGCCTTAGGGTTCAGTGGCAAAACTGATGGCAATGCATCTTCTTAAATGCCTTATCCATTGATAAAAGCCATATCTGTTTCTCACTCAAAGCATTGGATGGTGCCAAGGACATCAATTATAGGAACCTCGATTTTCAGTTTTTTAGTGCAGTGCCCACAGAAGCAGACAATAGGACATATCTCCACAAGAGTTGCTCCACTGGACAATGGCTGCAGGGGCTGGGACAATGGGTTATGACTGGTCAGTGGTTTGTTTTGGTGGTAACAAGCATGGTGAGTCCCTTCTCCACAAAAGTTGTTCTTCTAGAGGATGATTGTGAGAACCCAGTTGGAATCAGTATTGGTGGGGATGGAGGTAGGGAGGATAGCAATTCCAAAGACTCTTGAATCTGGCTTCTAGGGTCCCTACCACCAGGATCTGAGGGGAGAGGGGTGTACTGATCTGACTTGCTTGGCATATGCTGCCTCCTATATCTTCCTTAGGATGTCTTGTTGCTTCAGTTTGATTATCTTGTTTGTCTCACTGGTGGTAGGTGGTGGTGGTGGTACAGGTGGGAAAGGTGGTGGTGGTAGTGGTGATGGTGGTAGTGGTGATAGTGATGGTAGTGGTAGTGGTGAAAGTGGGATAGTGATGGTAGTGGTAGTGGTGGTGGTGGTATTGGTGGTACTGCTGGTGGTGGTAGGAATAGTGTGTCCCTGTTCCACAGCATTTGAAATCCCCTCCAAATTTGCAATGCTGTAATTGTTACCGTGATTCTAAAGCTACTGTCCTTTCTTGACTCTGAACTTTATTTTCCTTATCTATAAAATTGGGATGACAATACCTGCACTGCCTACTTCAAAATAGTCTCATAAGTAAAGTGTTTTGTACACTTGAAAGCACTATAGAAATGGACTTGATTGCTAATATTTACTATTATGATGACAGTTGTGGTTGTACAAAGCAATTCTGATTTACCACTCAATGACCTCTCTTCCCCACTCACACAAAGCCCTGGATGACACTGGCATGATCCTTTACAAATATCATTTCTCCCTTTTTTCTCTCATCTTCCTTATCTTTGTCCCAATGAAATCATTTAAGATGGAACCTCAGTTCATGATTTTAGCTTCCCGGGAAAGGAAAAGGACACTTTCCATGGTCTGTGACTTAAATATTTCGTAACTTCCCTGAGATGGAATCATCTTTGAATGAAAATTACCTAATTTGTCCTATCCAAAGAGCAAAAAACACCAATCTGGGTTATTAGTAAGAGTAGTAACTAAATCAAGAACCACAATACTGTCTAGACCCAAGTCTGTTCTATTTACCATATGACCTTGGGGAATCCCTCTTCTGTCACTTCACCTCAGGTTTTTGATGTTTAAAATAATGAAGTTAGACTCCATGATGTCTAAGATCTTTTCCAGCATGAAAAGAGTGTATGATCCTGTTTCACCAAAATGGTTAAGACATCATGATGAAATAGATAAAGCCCCGAATTCTGAACTAGAAGATCAAAGACTCAAAGGCTTGGCTCAAAGACTTATTGATTGTGTCAATATGGGCAAGGCCCTCACCCTCTTTAGATCTCTGTCCCCATCTCTAAATAATCTTGATGATGATGATTTTGAAGGTGCCTTGAAGTCCCAATATTCTGAGTCTAAGAGGATTGTTTGTTATTGTTCAAGTTATTTTTCAGTCATGTCCAACTCTTCATGACTCCATTGGGGTTTTCTTGGCAAAGACACTGGAATGGTTTGCCATTTCTTTCTCTAGCTCATTTTCCAGATGAAGAAACTAAGGCAAACAGGGTTACCTGACTTGCCCGAGATCACACAGCTATTAAGTGTCTGTAGATAGATTTGAATTCAGGAAAAGAGTCTTCCTAACTCCAGGCTCAGTGTTCTATCCATTGTATCACCTAGCTGCCCAAGAGGATTATTTAGGTTCTATATAATCTAAAAAATAGGGTAGTGTCCTGGAAAGAACAATGGACTTGGGAGTCCAGAGACCCAACTCAAGCACACTGCTTCCCTGATTTTCAATTCCTCATCTGTCAAAGACGATAATATTTACACTAACTGCCTTCCATGGTTGTTGCAGGGAAAATATGCATTAAGTGGCAAATCCTAAAACACTCTAGAAATATGAACAAGTCAGTGAATGGTTAAAGAGTCTTGTACTCATGTTATGTGTATGTGTATATATACATACATACATATATATATATATATATATGCACATACAATTTTGAAATATAAGCTTAGCCTGTAGAAACAGTTTCCAGGCACTTTGCATTATAGTTGAACCCTTCTAATTTACCTACTTGGAGCCTGACATTTCTCGGCATAACCTGGAAAACAAGTGTATGAAATGATGCGATTAGCCTCCCTGATCTTTGTACTAAGAAAGAGGCCTATATATGATTTCGAACTCCCCTGGACAAAACAGACAATGAAAAAGAAAGTCTGGGTTTGTTGTACTGTTATTGCATAGAGCATTAACCTCTTTATCCATGTGTCTCTCTACACTAGGCTTATTTTTAAAAACCCGTGATCTTACTGCAGGCCTACTTGTAGCTACCTTATCCTCCTTCACGCACAGTCTGGTTCAGCCAAACTGGTCTTTTTGTAGCTCGTCACACACGACCCTCTATGTTCTCTCCTTGTGGCTTTGCACACCGTTTCTCATGCCTGGAAAGCTCCCCATCCTCATCTCCTGCCTCTTAGACACCCTTCCTCGTTGCCTTTAAAGCTCAGACCAAAATGTAAGTTCCTAGGTGAGTCCTTTTCTGATTTCCCAAGTGCTAGTGTCTTCCCCCAAATTCACTTGCATTTACTTTGTACACACTTATTTTATATACACCAATATGAGTACATGGAACACGTGATTTCTATCTTGTAGAATGCAAGGCTTTAATTTTTGCATTTGTAACTCTAGCCTAACATAGCACCTGGCACACAGTAGCTACTTAATAAATGCTTGTTAGTTAATTGATTGATAAGCTCCTAGGATTTAGAGCTGTAAGGGAGCTTTGTGATCATTTTTTCCTATCCTCTTGGCATCTAGGTGGTGCAGTGAATAGACTGCTGGGCCTGGAGTCAAGAAGACCTGAGTTTAAATACAGACTCAGACACTTAGCTGTGTGACCCTGAGTAAGTCATTTAGTCCTGTTTGCCTCCGTTTCCTCATCTAACAAATGAGCAGAAGGAAATGGCAAACCACTCTAGTGTCTTTGTCCAGAAAACCCCAGGTAGGGTCACGAAGAGTTGGATATGACCAATCGTAACAACTGAACATCTTCTTATTTTGCAAATTAGAAAAACAAGGCTGAGAGAGGTTAGATGATTCGCCCATGGTCACAGAGGTGAGCTGCCAAGGGGTGAGTAAGGGGCCTCAAACTTAGGTCTTCCAATTCCAAATCCAGGGCTCACTTTGTAGAAACAGGATCCTTCGATTTTAAAATTTCAGCTTAAACTCAGGAGCAGTCACAGAAAACCTAGGGTTTTAGATTTAATTACAAATGGAAGCCTTCCCAGTTAACTATTTTGGAATCTGTAGAGAAAACAGAGGGGAGGCGGAAGAGGGGGAACAAAGTGTTTGCCAGGAAGAAAAGAAAATTATAAGCTCTCCATGTAACTTGGTAACAGGGAGTGGTTTGTGTATGAGAACTTGTCCATCTGTTGGGATATAAATAACTGGATAAAAAGTTGCTGTGTGTCATCTAAGGGGATGACATATGAATAGTGTCAAAAGCATCTAGTCATCTAGCAGGAGTCCAAGGGGGACAAACAGCCCCCAAACAGGCGGACACTAGTACATCGCTTTCATTCACCATCATCAATAGAGATTAGCCCATTGTCATCAATGTTGCGGAGAGCCTGATTTTTTTATGTGTAATAAAAAATTATACGCATAGATACAGACACATATACATACACACACATGCTTGTTTGAAATATCTATCTTGTGGACACCAAGGATACTGTTACCATCTCTCTGAGAACTCAGACTGTTGGAAGAAACACAGTTCTGAGTTGGTGATTTTAAAAAATCGGCTGATGAACTGTACTTTAGAAGCAGTTGAGAAAATGGCTTAATGTGAAGCATTTCTCATGGAGAAAGTGTGTTTTGTCTGTAATGCATGAGAACCTAAGAAGAATCTATGCAACAGGTAAGAAGAAGATGAGGATGGCCTTCTTCCTTATGAGGACTGTCTTAGGTGTTATTTTATGAGGAAATCTTAAAAAGAGGAACTTATAAAGAGGATTCTATGAAGTGCTTGAAAGAAGTTGAAAGATAATTTCCTATGATTGTTGAAGAAATGACAAAAAATAAAAAGGATTAATCCTGAAGATAAATATTAAGATTTTTAAGAAACTTTAATCATTATCAGGAGTGAATTGAATTACTCAAGGGTGTGTTTTCAGAAAAGTAAAAGGAATTATCTACTAGTACGCTAAAGGTTTGAGGTAATACAGGTTGGGACATTAGTCATAGACAAAATGTTACAAATGACTATGTGTCTTTATGTTTATTACTGATTCTACTTGTTAATAAGTTATATATACATGTAGATTTAATATTTAAGTGAATAATTTCTACGAGAAAGGAAGTTTCTCTAATTTTTTTTTTTTTGGTGAGGCAATTGGGGTTAAGTGACTTGCCCAGAGTCACACAGCTAGTGAGTGTTACGTGTCTGAGATCAGATTTGAACTCTGGTCCTCCTGACTACAAGACTGGTGCTCTATCCACTGCGTCACCTAGCTGTCCTTTCTAATTCGTTAAATAACTAATATTTAATGAAATTGTGTGGGGGCTTCAGTCAATTATAGAGAGTTTACAGGTTTATTAATGAGAAATAAATCATCCAAACTCAGCCTTAGGTTGCTACAGAGCTAAGCAGGATAAAATTAAATATGTAACAATGAGTTAAATTGCAGTCTATGTGTGTGTGTGTGGTCAGAACCCCAGAAGTCCATTTAACCCTGCTATAAGTAGGAGGTATATGTGTTTTCCTTGTAAACTTGCTACCTATACATAGTATATAACTCATTCTACCTCTCTAGGCCACCATCTCTCTGTTAAGAATTGGGAGGCATGCTTCACCATCAGACCTCTGAAGTCATGGTTGGATATTGCATTGATTGGAGTTCTGAAGTCTTTCAATATCATTTTTCTTTACATTATTATAGTCATCATGTAAATTATTTCCTGTTCATCAGACTGGCAGATGACACAAGCTAGGAAGGATAGCTCAACAGTGCATGGCAGAGCTGGGAATCTGAAAGGACCTTGACAAATCAGAGCATCAGGCTGAATGTAATAAGATAAAATTCAAAAGACGTAAGTATTAAGTGTTTTTCTAAGGTTCAGAAAAAAATTCAAGTAAGAGATGAGGAATATAGGGTTAGACACATTTTTTTAAAAGATCTTGGGGTTGTAGTGAACTATCTGCTCAATTTGAGTTAATACTGTGAAATGTCCCCCCCCAAAAAAATACAATTTTAGATTATATGAAGTGAGGCATGGCTTCCAGGAAAAGAGAAGTGACGGAAAGAGAATAAGCATCTATATAGCATCTATTATATACCAGGCACTGTGCTAAGTAAGCACTGTACAAATATTATCTGACCCTCAGAATTACTCTGGGAGGTAAGTGCTATTTATTATCTCTACTTTACAATTGAGGAAACTGAGGCAGAGTTTAAGTGACTTGGCCAGGATCACACAACTAATAAGTGTTTAAGGACAGATTTGACCTGAAGTACTCCTGACTCTAGGCCCAGTATTCTATGCACTTGTAAGACCTAACCGCCTCCTGGAAATAATCCTGCTGTATACTCTATCCCCATTAGACTGTATCTAGAGTATTTGGTTGTTAGTGCCGTAGTTTAAGAAGGACATTGATTACTTAGAGAGTATTTAAAGGAGAATGACCAGCATGGTAAAGGACTATGACATAGGTGAATCAGTTGAAGGAATTGAGGCTATTTAGCCTGAAAAAGAGAAGACTGGGAGGTCGAAGAGAGAGGCATGAAAGCCATGTTCAAAAACTGAAGGTCTGGAGAAAGAATTAGGTTTATTCTGTTTGGTCCCATTGGGGCCTGGACAAACCAAGAATAATGGGTAAAGCTACAAAAAGGCCAATTTGGGTTTGATATCAGGAAAAACTTCCTAACAATTTGAGCTGTCCAGAAATGGAATAAGCAGCCTCTATTATTATCACTCTTATAAAACCCAAGGACAGTGACATTATGCTATCTCCTCAAGAATATCCTTGCTCTTTTTATTTGTAGTATCACAGACATAAAATGTTAGAGCTAGGAGGAACTCAAGAGGGTATGGAAAGGAAGCTGTTTTCTGCCTCTGGACAAATGATTCTGGTGATAAAAACACAGAAAATCACTGCGAAAGGCTAGGCTTGACTTGTGGGTAGGTAGAAGTCAACATTCATGGGAGGTACATTCATCACGCACGATGTAATAACTGTATAAAGGCATGCTTTTCTCCTGGCTGAAGGAGAAAGATTATTTCATTAGGGTAAAATTTCAGGGCATCATTAGCCTATTAAATGGTTCTCTAGTGGATTGACATGTCTACTAGCCTTTCACAATGCCCAGGGCTAGTTTGCTTACTTTTGACCCATGCTTTTTCTTGGTCTTTCCTCATTTCTATTGAAAGAAAAAGAGCATTGGTCCCTCTTTGATAACATGCTCAACATAGACTTCTCTGTTTCAGGGGCTACATTGAGTGACCATTTATTCACTTGGTAAACTGTCCGAGGGGTTTTCATTCTGGTTTTGCTTCTAACTTGAAGTTTGACCTTGCCCTTTCTGGATTTCTGTTTCATCCCTCTGTCAAATTAGGGGCATGGACAAGCAGAATGCTAAATTTACTTACCAGTTCTAAGTGCTATAATTTTTTTTTATTTTTATTACCTAAAATTGAATTATTATTGAATAATGAAATAATTCATTAATAGCTGGAAGGAGCCTTAAGACTCTCTACTACAATATTCTTCCCACCTACCCCCCCCATCTTTTTTTAAATTTACAAATGAGGAAACAGAGACCCAAAGAGCAGATCTGTCCAAAGTACTTATTTGATTTTCCTCTTACTTAACCATTTCTAAAATATTTTTAAATTAAATTTTACTTTTTTTTTCAGTTGGCAAACATTTGTATTGTCTCCCTTCTACCTCTTCCCACACTAGGAAAAAATTAAAAATAATATTTGCAACAAATATGCATAGTCAAGCAAAACAAATCTCCACATTGGCCACATCCAAAAATGTGTACCTGAATCCATTCCCTCTCTGTCAAAAGGTGGGCAGCATTCTCCATCATAGTTCTATCAGTCCATTGGTCACTGTGTTGACCAGAGTTAAGTCAGAGTTTAAGATTGTTCCTTTTTCATAGTGTTGTTATAATTTTTTTCTCCTGGCTCTGTCCTCTTCACTTTTCATCAGTCATACAAGTCTTCCCAGATTTCTCTGAAACCATTCCATTATTTCTTACAGTATAATGTAATTCCATCACATTCAGCCTTTCCCCCACTAATAAGCATTGATTTTGTTTCTAGCTCTTTGCTACTACAAAAATACTACTATAAATATTTTTGTACACATGGAGCATTTCCATCTTCCTTTGATCTCTTAGTGGTGGGTATTACTAGGTCAAATGGTATACACAATCTAGTGACTGTCTGAGTTATCATTCCAAATTGCTTTCCAGAATGGCTGTACCAGTTCACGGCTCCACCCATGGTACTTTCACTTCATCTGTTTCCTCGTGTGGTTTCAATACATTTGGCCCCCCCCTGAAACTGACAATGCAGAGGTGACATTTAAAGGCCAATTGAATTTTCTCCTCATAACTTAAGGGCAGAACTAGAAAAAATGCATGAAGGTGACAGGTGGGCAGATTTTGGCTTACAGAGTAATAGGATTTCATATTTGCAAGGTAACTAAAAGACAATCTAGCCCAACTTGTATCTCAAATACTATTAATTTCTATAGCAATCGAGCAGCATGGTATAGTGGAAGAAGTGGTTTCATGGATTTGGGGTCAGAAAATCTGGGTTCCACTCTTGGTTCACTTATTTCCTTATATAACCTTGGGTATGTTATTAACTACCTCTTATTCTTATGATTTATATGATCTGTAACAAATGTCCATCTTGCCTCCATTGGAAGATCTTCAGTTGCGAATTCATTACAGCCTTAGATAATCCATTCCACTTTGGGGCAGCTTTAAATGTAAGGAAGTTCATCTTAATATGAAATCAAAAACTATTTCTCAATAGATTCTATTACTTCTACTGATGCTCCCTAGGGCCAAGAAAAGCAAATTTGATGCCACTTCTCCATGAGAGATCTTCAAATAGTTGAATATAGTTACTGTGTTGCTCCTAAGTCTTCTCTTTTCTAAACAGCTTTAGATCATTCTACTTGTCCTCTCCTACGGTACTTCTAGTCTTTCTCCATCCTGGCATCCCTTCCCTGCATGTGTTCTAGTTTGTCAATATCTTTCATGAGACAGAATCGAGTGGCATGACTTTTGCTCTTACTCAGGACACTATGCTTCTATTAACGTGTCCTGTGATTTGTTTTAGGTGTCTGGCTACCACATCACTCCATTGACTTACACAAAGTTTGCAGTCCACTAAGATGTGCACATTTTTAAATGAATCATTCTCCAGCTATATTTCATCTATGCTAAACTTATAAAATTGATTTTTTTAAAAAAAAATCCAGGTAAGACATTAAATTTATCCCTATTAAATTTCTTGTTTAGATTTGTCCCATTGTTCTAGCTTGCTAAGATCTTTTTGGATCCTGAGTGTGTTGCCTAGCACACTCCTCTCTCAGTGAATGTATGCAAAAGGTCACCTTTCCCAATCTGTTCCTCGAAAGGAATCACCTCTAAAACCAAAAGGCAATATAGCATGATGGCAATTCTTAGGGTATAACTGTGGTACCTAGGGATACTGAGTCACTCACTATTAGGACAGGAGGAAGAACAGGAGACTTGTGTTCAGACCCATGCTAATGGGTCCTGGTAGGTGATCTTGAATTAGGTACTTCTCATCTCAGGGTCTCTATTTCCTCATCTGTAAAATGAGAGGGTTTGACAAAGTTCCCTTCCAGCCCCAAAAATCTATGACTAGAGATTTGGTTTTGGAAACAGAGTTGAAATGAAGAAGAATAAAGGAAGATGGGGAAAGTGCTTGGTACAGTGCCTAGCACCCAATAGGTATTTAATAAATGTTGATTGATTGAAAGCTTGCTTACCTTTGCAAACAAAGCACTTTATATGAAAATACTTGTTCTGGACTCGCAAAACTTCTCCTTTGCACACATTCCCACAGGTGTTACACAGAATTGCAGTAGATGGCTTCTCCAGGTGGCTGTGGACAGCCTGTTGTTGAGATACTGTTAAAAGAAAGAATAGGTTTTAAGGATGGTAGTTTCACTTACAAAGGTAGACTGGTCACCAAACAAGGAAAACATCAATTCAACATATAACAGAAACATAAACAATGGAGAAAAAAAGATATTTTATTTTGAAAACTTGTAATTACTATGCTATTATTATTGTTATCAATAATAGTACCCTAGTAAAGTACTATCCTGATGGCTCATTGAAGCATAAAGGTGACCTCAGGTTCTTGAATGTTATGCTAGCAGAACCCAAGTTCTGACGGGTCCCACTGAGTTGGAAGGACTTTGAATCAGACAAGGCATACACTGTGTATGTGTCACATAAAAACCTGGCTGGCTAAATTGAGAGAGGCTCATGGCTTATGTTCCAACAAGAGTCCAAGTAAATGTAACAGTAAAAATGACAGTATACAATACACAACATATGTTTTTATGCATGCAGTCCATTACGGTGGAAAGGGTACTGTTCTTAGAATTGGAGTTCAAGACCCTGTTCTGACAGTTCCTAACTGTGTGAACCTAGGCAAGCCAGTAACATCTCTTTGCTTTAATTTCCTCATTTGAAATTAGAGGCAGATAGTTAGATGGCTCATTGGTTAGAGCACTGGACTTAGAAGTCAAAAAGACCTGAGTTCAAATCCTGCCTCAGATATTTACTTGGTGTATGACCCTGGGAAAGCCACTTAGCCTCTGTCTGCCTCAGTTTCTTTATCTGTAAAAAGAGGATAATAATAGAATTTCCCTCATAGGGTTATTGTGAGGTCATAAAATGAGATAACTTATATAAAGTGCTTTGAAAATCTTAAAGCACTACATGCTAGTTATTATTATTAGTAGTAGTATTATCTGAAAAGTGAGTTAAATAATACTTACATAACCTACCTAATACAGTTACTGAGAGGAAAGCTTTTTAAAAATTTTCATCCACTACAAAAAATTGAATTTATCACCATTATTTTCACTACCCATAGAAAGTCTGTTTAAATGTCTATATCAAATATCATTGGCCAGGGCTTCAGTAATAAAGCTTTTTCCCTTTAGGGATAGTTATTGAAACCATAATATCTATAATCTAATTATGCAATCTCTTAGATTGAAGGCAATTGACCTATTGACTACACTAATCTATATAGTTAGATAGATAACCCACAGAGCTGGTCTATCTTGGATAGACACCAAGGTGGATGGACAATGAACTGGAGCCAGGACTGAATAAAAAGAGAACGTGCTAGGTGACCCTGGGGAAACTGCTTCCAATGGCACTAGAGAGCTGCAAGTTGTGGATGCCATGATTGCTGAAGAATGAAAGTTATGCATAACTCAATGGAAATAGAAAGATGTGTGGTGGATGTGAGTCAGCTACAATTCATTTCTAACCAAGAGCTTCCCAAAAGAAGCATCCTAAAAGCATAAAGCAACTAAGAAGGATTGAAGAGAAAATGATCAATGCACCCCATCCAACAAATATACCCCATGATTCTACCAGTCTCTGTGCTATTAGAATGTTAAGAGAGCTCAGAGAAGGTCCCTGGCACAATGAATGGGTCCCTCTGGAAAGATCTATTGGCAAACACAGACACGACCAAGGAGAGAGAATGTAGTCTGTGTCACTATGTGAGTATCCACATTGGTGAGATCACAGACTCCTTGAAGTATGGGAGAAAAAAATAAGGTAATTGAGAATTTACAAAGCCTGAATGTAAAATATATACTTTCAAATGATGAAAAGGAGCCTTGGTCCACAGAGCAAACATGATCCTGACTCATGGCACAATATTGAATAGGAACAGGTCCACGGAATGGTTCCAATCATGGCAGATGTCGAGTACGATTTTGTTTCTATATTCATGTTTTGAGTTAAATCATGGATTTTGTGTTGAGAGTATAGATTTCAAAGATGGTCTCTGCTCAACTGTCAGAAATCATTTAAAGAGTTATAAACTTTCCTCCCTCTTTGACTGGGGACATATAACTAAGGCAATTCTTATGAATGTTAGAATTCAGCTAGAAATTACTTGTCAATGAAACTTCAAACAAAGAGCTATTTGGTCAACTTTAATGTTACTGTGATTTTTAAATATTCCTCATGACTTCATCAGTATTCATGCTATTGAAATTGTACTTTGGGGAAAAAAACACTAAGTTCTTCCTCTTTTGAGATAAAAATTAATTTGTATATTACTTCATACACAAGTGAGTTAAAATCTTACTGCCATCTTGTGATTTAAAATAGAAATTGCAACAATTTGCATGGTTACATTATTGACGTTCTTGTGTAATTTAGGATCAGGGAGCTAGAAGAGATTGTAAGATAATATCTATAGGAGGCTAAAATTCAAAGGGATCTTCATGTTATAGTTGTGAGGGACCTTATAACATAGAGTCATCGCTGACAATGAGCTTTGAGGACAAATAGTAACATTTGAGTGGATCTTAAAATGTAAGATATCTGAGTTAGGGGATTTTTAAATATACATAATGTTAAAAAGCTGGAAGGGCCCTTAAATATTATTTAAGCCAACCACCACATTTTTGAGAAAGGGAAATGAGGGTCCAGATAGAGAGCTCATTTACTCAACTACATTCCTCTCTATGATTATTGTGAGTCCTTAGCTGTGTGTATAAGATCATCCCACCTCAGTAAGCTAAATTGTAACATGCCACACATGGTCATTTCCTGGGGCTGCTGACCTGTAAGAAAAGTAAAGGCATGTGAAAAGAGCAGAGTTGCATATCTTAAATCCCAGATGGATCATATTCTGTTCGATGATGAGTGGGGCCTGTTCTAAATGGGGTGTATGTGGCCATGAGCAACTAATTTCCATGAATGCTGGAAATAGGCCATGTTCCTGTTTACCTGAGCAGGAAGTAGAATTCACTTTTGTCAGCTTTGCCGTCTGAAAGCCCGCCAGAGGAGAAATAGGCTTTCTGCAAATGAGACTAGGTTGAAACGGATGCTAGGGTATTCAAAGTGGCATTGCTGCTTAGCAATATTGGCGATGGAGGAAGGGGAGGGTAAACACTGACGTGATTTGTTGCACGACAGCTCAGCATCAAATATATTGGCTCTGCTCCTCCATGGTTTAAACAGTGATGGAACAGATGGAAAAGGGTTGAAACAGGGCGTTTAATACTGATGCCTAAAAGTCTTTGGCTTCCAAAGCAGCTCTGCCAGAGCGAGTGGTAACAGCAACTGGAGAAAATGTATTTCTTTGTTTAAAAAGTAAATACAAAATAACAAAATGTGCCCTGGGCAAAACTAGGGAAGAGGCAAAGTTTCTTCTCTGTGTGCCTACATACCCCACCCAAAATGACCTCTCCTTTGGGCCCTGTTTAGTGCCTGCATTTCCCCCAGACAGAGCTATAACTAGAACAATGCTGACACTAGGGGCCAGCAGAAAAAAAAAGGAAAACGTGCCCTCAGATCAAGTTTGAAATTTATGATTTGAAAATAATTCAAGAATTAATGAAGGCAAGTTCAATTGAGGAGGAGGGGAATGAATTACTAGCTCAGGCACCACCTCATTCAGGAAAGCTCTCCTGAATCCCAGTTGTTAGCACTATCTTCTTGAAATCACTTTGTATTTAATGCTAACAATAATAGCTCGCATTTATGTAACAGTTTAAGATTCACAAAGCACTTTGTCTAGGTTATTCCATTTGAGCCTCACAATAATCCTGTGAGGGTGGTGCTATTAATATCCCCATTTTGCAGAAGAGGAAACTGAGGCTGAGAGGTTTAATGATTCACTCAGGGTCACACAGCTAGTGAGTGTCTGAGACAGGATTCGACCCTCAGATCTTACTATCTCCAAATCTACTCTATCCACTGCACCACAGAGCTGAAGTACATGTTGTTTCTCCTCAGCAAACTATAAGGTCCTTGAAGGGAGGGACCAGTTTCACTTTTGTCTTATATCCCCCTCATCGGGCACAAATGCTTAAAAATACTGAATTTAATTTAGTTCTAGATTCCAAAGCAGTCCTTTGCTTAAATATTTGGCTTCTCAAAATTCTTGTGCCTGTGGCAAAATCCCAAATGTCCTCATTGTACTCAGGGTTTTGTCATCAGATGCCCAGAATGGATGCTGGAAAGATCATTAGACTTGGACTTAAGGCATGAGTCTGAGTCCTAGCCCTGATGTTTACTGACTATATGACTCTGCACAAGTCAGATTATGTCTCTGGTCCTCAGGTCCTTCATCTGTAAAATAATAATAATTACATATATACATATATATGTGTGTGTGTGTGTGTATGTATATGTATGTTTGTATCTATATGTGTGGCTATGTGTACACACACATATATACACAGACACACACAGATACATACATATATGTGTAAATACATCCACACATATATACATATGTACTTACATATACATGCACATACATATATGCATACATACATATGTATATAGTGTTATTGGTTCACAAAGTACTTTTTCCACAGTAAGCCTGTGAGGTAGCTAATAAAAATCTTACTAACCCTATTTTACAGACAAGGACCAGAACCTTCCTGCAGTGCTCACCATGGTGTAGAGGTGGTCCTCAAAAATTACTCCAGCAAAGTCTTCCAGGTCATACAAAGATAGAGAATCCAGTGAAGGACTTGCTGTATATCTGAGGACATTGAACCTAGCTAAGTTCAAAAAGTTCAGGCCAACTTTGGTCACAGGCTGATGAATTGTCTGATCAAAGTAACCATCAAATACCTTCTATCAAGTCAGAAGGGAGCTGTGATCTGCATCAGTAGAGTACTCACATCAAGGAAATTCTGGATTCTGAGACTGAAGATGAAATTTACAAATGATGTTCTAGAGTTGTATCACTAGCAAGTGGCAATAGCTATAATCAAACCCAGGCATTCAGGGTCCAAGTCTAGGGTTCTTCCCACCACGCTCTCTCTCAGGGGATTGTGCTGACCATATGAAATAATGTATGTGAAAGTATTTAATGATAAAATGTTATATACATGTACATCATTAT